CAATTGCGGAAAGTAGATCGCAGAGAACAAAACTATTTGCATTCAGTCCTTGCACAGAACTGACTAAATCTTTGTTTGCTGTTCGGTTAAATTAAATAGAGAAACTGAACTCTTAAAAGTACCTTGAATTTTTAGGTTTAAAAAGCAAAATGCACACTCTGCGGACATGTTCATGAGAATATAAAAACAAATAATCCAGCATGAAATGAATATCTTTATACTTTTCGTATTTATTTTCGTGCAATGAAATCCACAACACTTGTCAATCATATTGTATGACTGTGTCTAAAAATAACATGTGGGCGTCCCACGGTTTAGACAGGTTTGTGTCAGGCCCTATTCTAAATTAGGGCCTGAATTTCAGGTTAGAATCATCACGGTTAATAGAAGAAGGATTCTATTAACCGTGGAATCATGTAGGAGTATCAACAGGGCTGTCGCAAAGAGGCTTTAAGCAATGTAAAAATTGACGACAAAATCCTTCATTTTTTTGCAGACAATATGTTTTCAGGGGGGTTTTACACACTGCATAGCCCCTAGCGACACCTTGAGTATCAACATATACATGGTTTGTTATTTGTATGCTTTTTGGCTATATTTCTTTCTCTAGGTACGACGTAGTAATGTGTGGGAAGATGCAAAGATCAAGATGAAAAAATGTTCAAATGATGAACTGAATAACCTCATTAAAATTCAGTTTGTTGGAGAACCCGCAGTGGATCAAGGTGGCCCAAGAAATGAATTTTTCTCATTAGTCCATAATGAAGTATCTAAATCAGGCATGTTCATTGGCAAGGAAAACAGAAAGTGCTTCAACCATGATATTCTTGCCTTAGAACAAAGAAACTATTATATATATGGGCAGTTATGCTATATTGCAATCCTGCAAGGTTCACCTTCTCCCTGTTTCTTTGCACCTTCAGTGGTAGATTATATTGTTTATGGCAAGACTGAAAAAGTTGAAACGTGCGTTGGAGATGTGCCAAATCAAAAAGTGAAGCAAAAGCTGGAAGAGTTGGAAAAAATTGAGGATCCTGAAGCATCTTTCGAATGTTCATTTAAATTTAAGGCTGGTTTTAGCAAGCCACTCAGCACGTTTCAAGAAAAAGACAAACTTTTTCATGCAATTGCATTGCATTATACCCTGCTCTCCTCCTTGTCTGAAATCAACCAATTTATGGAAGGGTTAAACGTTCATGGCCTTCTTGACCATCTGCGCCAACATCCCCAACAAGCTCGGAAATTGTTTCTCTATAGTGAAAACCAACTTAATGCTGAGCAGGTGGATAACCTCTTTGTGCCATCACTCTCTCCAAAAGGGAGTAACAAACGTGCTGCAGAAGAATCAGTGTCCTTGAATTTTACACGGTATCTAGAGGATGTGGAGGCTGGAGATGTTACATGCAAACTTGTTGATTTCAATAGTAATGAAGAGTCTGAACTGCAAGTCACATTACCAGCTCTCTTGCAGTTCATCACTGGAAGTTCATCTGTACCCGCACTTGGCTTTGTGGATAAGCCACCATTAATCACATTTCAGCATGATTCTTCAGGCCGAAAGCTTTCTGCCAACACCTGCGCCAATACTTTGCGCCTTCCAGTTAACAACACCTTTCTGAACTATGACAGCTTCAAAGTCGAGTTCACTTCCTGTATGGCAGAAGCCCCAGGATTCGGCAATGTGTAGAAAATATGGCCATGAACATTGTGGCGTACACATTGCCCTTATGTGGCCATGCAAGAGAGGCTTTCAGTTATTATTTGATACTAAACACTGCCTTACCCTAATATTCCAATTTAGTATGTTATTGTTCTAAAACAAAGAGATTGGCATTTAATTTGACATGCACCAGCAAACATATTTAGTATGGATGCACTTTGTTTCTCTTAGTTCTTCTGGATCTGATCAGCCAGAGCATGTCACAATTAGAAAGGGAATACTGCAAGTACTCTTACTTGGTTGTTCTCGCAAGGGTGGCAGCAGTTGGCAATATATTTTGCCGGGATATAGTGGATATACCATACCTAGTGGATATGTAATGTCATGATGCATGCATAGTAAGAAGTTGTTTCAAGGTAGTTCCTACTGTTATTGTCTAAGACCCGGTCCACACGATACTGGCATGAAATTCTGCCGACAGAAAATCATCACGGTTTCAACTGTTCACACGATACCGGCAGATTATATTCCGCTTTGACAATATGCTGCACAAATCAGTTAAAATAGACACAATAAAATATCCAATAACAACTTTTGCAGTTTTGTTCATTTAAGGCGTTCACACGGCACTCTGACGGAAGAATTTCGTTCCGTTTTCAAACCCTTACGGTTTGCATACCATTTTCAAACTCTTACGGTTAGCGTTTCGCATTTTTTTATACCTGCATCGTGTGAACGCAACCCCTAAACGTAAGAATTTCGTTCCATTTTCAAACTCTGCCGGTGTCGTGTGAATGGGGTCTAACTTTTATATTGATATTGATGTTATGGCTGTTATATGCACTATTAATTTTCTGAGGAACTTTGTTTACATTCAAATGTATTGATAGTTCTAAACAACGTTCTGCTTATTTACATTTAAATTATTTGTAATGCAGAAGTTATTTTTAGTAGTACATATTTGGTGAAGCCTAGATCTCGTATATCACCGCCAGTTAGCGATGACCATTTTAACACGTTGCCGATCCAATGATCACTGATTTCAAATTTTCAATGCCAAGACAATATTGACCATGGCCATTGCCCATCACAATTTAAATTACAGAGAAAGCAACATCATTTTTTTAATCATTCAAAATTGAATTATTTGTGGTTGATCGACGTGCACGTGACATCCGCATGTTCGCAATATAAAACAAGCTGCAGGTGATTTCAGAGACACGTTAATTCTCACACCTGCGAAATAGTCATCGCGGGTGTACCAGAACCAGGCTAAACACCATGTTTACTCGTCCTTGTTTATATTTAGTTGCACATAAGACATGGATATATAATGGTTAACATTGGTATCAAGTGTTTAGCACTTCAAATTTGTTATAGTTGTATTAAGATTTTAATGTTATGAATATCATGTTCTTATATGATTTATGCAAGTTATTCGACATAAATGTACTTGTTTTATAAACTATTACTGTAACTACAATTGTCTCAAATTAATACATGTACTTATCTATGAACAATCGAATGTATATTGTCCACATGACCAATCGCCGATCCACTTATATACCGGAACTTTAATTCTATATGATGTGATGCTGGAGTGACATGTGATAGGCAATGATTAACATACTATTTATGAGGGGGTGACATGGGTGCATGCCCATCCCCACAGTTGAGTTTGGCATACAAGTTTAGAGGCATATGAATGTCACTCTAACATTGCGTTGATTATATGACAGGAACTACTGAGATTCTGTCGCAAAATTCAGCAATGCATATTGTTAGCGAAAAAATTGCAGCTTTACCCAATCATATTGCCATTTTTTTTCATTTTATGCGAACAAATTTTCACCAATTGGAAAACTGGCTTAAATTATTTGTATCATGGACGTGCTGGGGTATTGAAAAGGACTAAGAGTGAGCAACATCTGATGGGGCCCAGGCCCAGTGATGGATGGATCAGGACTGGGATGGGGGTGTTACTGATCAAAATGAAACATTTCAGTTGCTAATCAATCTTTCTTTTCCAGACATACCATTTTTCAGTAACTTTCGATTTATAAATGTACCATAACTTGTTCAATTTTTCGGTAACATTTTCGTAAATTTAGATTTTTAAAATATAAATTGTAATATCTTAATCTTGATTTTCAAAATTAAAATCTATATTTTAATTTTTTATCTTTTCCATTGTTTCGGCATTTTCAAAAAAATTTTCATTTTTTTTCCAACCTCGGAATTTTCAAAAAACCAACCTCGGAATTTTCAAAAAAATTTTCATTTTTTTTCATGATGGCAGGGGCCCACAATAAGTTCTCGTCGGCTCATCCATAGCCAGAATGTCCCTAGCCAGCACGTCCCTGATTTGTATATCACTCGTATGTTGCAAATTTGAACTTTTTAGTGAAGGTTAGAAGGTTAGAAGATTAGTGATGTCTGAAACAGCCGAACATATTTATTCTGAAAATGTTATAAGGTAATGAGAAACAACATCATCTACCTGTGTTTGAAGAATGGGTATTAGTTGATCTTCACCTCCTGAATGTTCTGGAAGGAAAAATAACTCATCAGGTTTTCCTGGGATGGTATCATGTCTCGAAGGTCAAATGTGATGTGTATTCCAGTGTAGCTTGACAAAGTCCAAGTCTTGCTGAATGACTTCGTTGAAGCAAAACCATAGGCATTCTATGTGAAATGAGTTTCCATCCAAGAACACCCCTCTGTCGCGTAGATCCTTAAAGAAGTTTATCCACCAAGTTGTGTGGCTTTTTTTAAGATGAGACCACCAGCATTTGATTCGTTGATTGCTAGTTGAAGAGCCATAAGATTTCATCATCATCGTTTGCTCTTACATAACACTGCATGGCAGCCATCGTGCCATTCTCAGTTCCAGGATCTGTTCTTAAAAGTCAAGGACAACCTTGAAGTTCCTTTACACATTCCAGATAATAGTTGGCTATTACAACTGGATTATTGTTAGTTCTTGTCAACCCAAAACACGTCTACTATATCCATCGACTGCTCCATGTATTGGAAAGCCAAATGGTTTTAGTTTATCATAACCATCGACGTGCCAACATTCATTTGGGCCATTCGATCTATATGTCCTCCTCTTAAGCCGGTGCCGCTTTCGTTCTTCGGTGCCGTTTGGGTCAAGCTCCTTTAAAATCCTCTGAACCTTGTCTCTTGGAACACACAGTCCGTATTTGAGTCGAAGGGTATGTCACATACTTCGATACCCTGACAGACAACTTGGACCTTGTAATTCTTGTTGAATGGCTTCAACGATATCATTATCATCAATGTCAACAGCATTTTCCCTTTTCAGGCCATATTCCCTTAACCGTCTCTTCAGTGTTGACATTGAATGATTAATGCTATGATATTTCGACAAAAAACATAAAATCGTTTCGTATCTGTATCCTGCAAGAAAATAGCTTTCTATTGCTTCCCGTTCTTCTTCCTCATTTGCTACAGTTTGAGCTTCAGGGTTTTCAACCATTCTGCCACAAGAAGGGCAAAAGACATTGGTTTCATGAAGTTGATTTCCACACAAAGAACAAAACATGGTAACCGCCTGTTTTCATACACACTGTGCATAATTATAAGCCTGGGGAGAATGTGTAGTGAGTATATTGAAATGTGTAGTGAGCATTTTGAAATGTGTAGTGAGCATATTGAAATGTGTAGTGAGTATTTTGAAATGTGTAGTGAGTATTTTGAAATGTGTAGTGAGAATATTGAAATGTGTAGTGAGAATATTGAAATGTGTAGTGAGCATATTGAAATGTGTAGTGAGCCTTTTGACATGTGTAGTGAGCATATTGAAATGTGTAGTGAGCATATTGAATTGTGTAGTGAGAATTTTGACATGTGTAGTGAGAATTTTGAAATGTGTAGTGAGTATATTGAAATGTGTAGTGAGAATTTTGAATTGTGTAGTGAGCATTTTGAAATGTGTAGTGAGAATTTTGAAATGTGTAGTGAGTATTTTGTAATCAGTGGCGTAGCCAAGGGGGGGCGAGGGGGGGCGATCGCCCCCCCCAATCGCTTCTAAGACCATTCTCGCGAAAAGTCTAAATCCGTATAGCAGTTGGGGGGGGGGGGTACGTTTAACGAAATCCAAACTCACAATATAATTATGCCGTTGAGGTATGGAAATTATAGCTACCCAAGTTTGGGTAAAAATATCGAGTGCGCAAATCTGATATAATCATTTATGTCTTGGGAGCGCTGAGCTGGTATTTATATGCTTATACACAAGGTGTTAAAACACGCAAACCATTGAATTGGCAAAGCTGCGCAAAAGCAATTACTATAACTGTCAAAACAATTTACTTAAGCTAACATACTCAAAAGTACTTAACAGATTAAATCTGGGCGAGTCTACTTCCTTAGTATTATCCAATCATGTCATCGCGAAAACGGAATAGTAAATTATAATATGCGCGGAATTTTCTTGCGTGACTAGCGCAGACTATTGTATACATGAAAAATGGCAGAAGCTTCTGTTCCTCAAGATCTTTCGTCTTATGAGTATGAACCTTCCTGTCCTTTGCCCAGTGGAAGAGAAGCCAGGGACCACGTTATAAGCAAAGGACCTTGCCAGCCAAGAGATATAAATTTTCCTTTGGATAACCGGAATCGTAAGGTTCTAGTATCGTGGTATGAGAAATTTCCTTGGTTAGAGTATTCTGTCTCGTTGGATAAAGCTTTTTGTTTCGTCTGCAGAGTGTTCAACGCACAGGTGAGTTAATTGTGTGATTTGCGCTTTAATTATTTTCCTAAGTTAGTCCTAACCTTGTTAAGTTGTTTACACTTAATGCGTACCGTTTAATTTGCAATTATACATGGCCCATGGCCCTGGTAGTGTTTAATTATGTATCAAAATGCGATGTGTAATACTCAATACTGTTGTTTTAAATAATTACTAATTATCTCAAAAGTATGAAAAGTTCCACAAACAAACTATAATTCATCCTCTCTGTATCGTCAAATAGTTGATATGTATTATAAAAATACAAGAAACGCTTCTTATATTATGACAACGTAAAACAATGACATTTGTCTTCTTTGCATGCAGACGTCGTCAAGGAGTGAACCTACATTCATCAAAACTGGTTTTAGTAACTGGAAAAAGAGCAAGTCTTCGCAAAGCACGAGAAGTCAGATTGCCACAAGCATTCACTTCAAGCTCATCGTCACTGGAAATCCCAGAAGCCAATACATCATAAAATAGACGAAGAAAATGAGAGACAAGAGTCATATCGTCAACAAAATGTACGTATTGCCATTTGCCAAATATATATAACTTTGACAGGCCATCTGTGCACAACATTACAGACGAAGTAAGCGTGTGAAAACGCCAATTTTGCATAAAAATGTCGGTGATATGGTGGTAATCCTGGTAATACGTTTATTCCTAAGAAACAATTGAGTGACGCGTATAAAGTTAACACAGTTAGGATTTTTTAAAAATTGTATCCTTTTATTTTCAGGTAAAAAAGAACCGAACTGTAATTGGTAAGATCATTGATGTTGTTCGACTTCTTGGAAAACTGAATTTACCATTTAGGGGACACCGCGAGGATAAGAATTCTTTAAACAAAGGGGTGTTTAAAGAATTTCTTGAACATATAGCAAAGTCTGATTCTCTTATTGAAGATCATTTACGAAATTCTGCAGGTAACTATATCATTCACTGGTTCAGTAACGTTAAGGTTACTATGAATTTTCGGTGGAATATAGGGATATATGAAACTGCATGATAATAGAATGGGATAAGGAATAATAAAGATAAACTGAAGTCGTAATTATGATAATTCTGTAATTATTTCTTTTTATCGATTTCAGAAAACGCTAAATACACTAGCCCTGAGATCTAAAATCAGTTGATCAAGGTGGTTGGTTCAGCTATATTAGACGAAATCATACGTCGTGTCAAAGGAGCCGAGATGTATGCAATCATTGCAGATGAGACACCAGATCTTAGTAAAACGGAACAGTTAGCTGTACTTGTTCGCTATGTCTGGAATGGAGTGATAGAAGAACGTCTTTTAGCTGTAGAACCTATGGAAGAAACCACAGCTGAAGCGCTTTTCCATACCATCCGAGAGAAATTACAACAGTGTGGGATAGAATTTTCAAACATGCGTGGACAATGTTATGATGGTGCAAGTAACGTGTCTGGAATCCATACCGGACTGCAAGCACGCATCAAAGAGATTTCCCGTCAGCAATTTACACACATTGCTATGCTCATGTTTTAAATCTGGTCATCGTGGACACAATGAGTAACAATAGTATAGCAAGAGATTTCTTTGGAACGTTGCAAAATCTATACGTGTTCATCGAAACTTGCACAAAACGACATGCTGTGTACTTGAAACACCAGAGAAAGTTGAATGCATCAGATGATGAAGGAAAAAAGAAGCGCGAGTACGTTCTGAAGAAATTGTCTGATACAAGATGGGCATGCCGGGCGGACAGCATCACCGCAATTTACCACACACTCGAAGCTGTCATCGCGACTCTAAAAGAGATCAGAGAAAATGAAAAGAAGGCTCACATTGCAGCAGAAGCAAAGGGGTTGTTTCAGAACGTCTGTGATTTTGAATTTGTTTTGGCTTTGGAGGTACTGTTTTGATGACAAATGTACCGTGATTTATATTTCATTCATTTTTATTTTTAATGAAAATTTAATAATGTGAGTTGATCATTTTTATTAAGGTGCTGAAGAAAGTCCTGCTACTCAGTAAGGGAGTGTCAGATAAGCTGCAGTCAGAGGACTTGGATGTCGTCACCGGCTGCGAAAGAGTTGCTGATCTGCTAAGCACAGTACAGGCTCTACGATGCGAGCCCAAATTTGAGGAATTTTGGGAAACTACTGTTACAAAATGTCGCAGCTTGAATATCGAAGAACCAAGACAAGAGCGTACCCACAAACTTCCTAGGAGGATCGACGATAATCCTGACACAGTAGTCCATCTTACGTCGAAAGAAAAGTTTAGAATTTCCTTTTACTATAATGTAGGTTATATGAATAATGAATTGTTCTGGAAACATGCATTCCAATCACTTATAAAAATATTTACAGCTATGTATTTTTCGAAATCTAGGTACTTGATCTTATGGTTAGCTCCATTGAAAGTCGATTTGACAAGAATAACGCACCAGTTTTGATGGGTCTCGGATACTTAACTCTTTTCGGTCACACACATTCGCATCATATTACGACCCAATCGTTCTAGTATAAATATCTCGGCGAGTATTGACCCCCCTTTTAAATAAAACCCACCATTGAAATCCTCACAAAATAACCTTTCGAACGGGGGGTCAAGTGCCGTCTGAACATTACACAAACCGAAACAATCATATATTTACTCACCGCTTGGCCAAAGATTCTAAATTTCATATACACAACATCTTGAATACCCCTTGAACTTTTCGACATTTGCTGAACGGCTATATGTGTAAAATACTCTTTGTATTCAAGCGCTTTCGTGTAGAAAGTTTCGTATGTATACGCCGACTAGAAATATTTATTTTGAATTTTTCAAGATGTCGGGTTTTACTCGCACTTGAGTACATTGCGCAATAATTGGCCAATAAGAAGCTCCTGTAGCCGGGATGACGTCAAACTCACGCGTGTAGGTGCAATTTGACCTTGCGAATCCATTTCTGGCCTTTCCAGGGTCATACGATATAAGCGCCGCATTGTTTTGACGGTTTTCAGTCGTATTTCCGGTTGGGATTAACTCACTTCGAGCTCACAGTCGGACAAGAAATGGAAATATATTGATAAAAGATACAGATTTGAAGATACAGGCTTGCAAATAACACTCTAAATAGTGTTTTTAATGGGAATTCTAACAAGCCTATTACAAAGACGATATGTTCGAAGGGGCCGAAGTTACTTTCGGCGAAAGGTATGGCTAGTCTATATTTTTGTTCAGACAATTGCATAATTTGATACAATATGATCGTGTTGGACTTTCAAAGGCCGATAAATCGCTACAATGTTAATAATGGCTATAACTATCGTTTGGAACTAGTTGATCTTTTATTTCTGAATTGAATGGTGGTATTTCTGTCTTCATAGCACGCACTAAACTGAAGGTATGAAATTTCGAAGCCGTCGATCCCTCGAGATCGATGAGACTGGGTTGTGATGCAAAAGAGTTAAATCCTTCTCGAATAGGCAATCCAGAAGCTTGGAAACATATTTCTGTCGCGGCCCAATGGTTCCAATGCGATCTTGATGTTGATGAAATAGAGAGCGAAATATTTTCCCTACAGACATCGTCGCTGCTTGCTAACATCCTCGAGAAGGCAAAATTAGAGAAGAGAAAAGCCAGTTTCGACGACCTGTTCAAAGCATTGCAAGCTGAACCCGAATGCTATGGAAATTTAACAAAGCTCATGAAAATTGCTTTGACACTGCCCCTCACATCAACAAGTGCCGAAAGGACATTTTCGAAGCTAAAGTTGATAAAGTCTCGACTTAGGACAACCATGCAGCAGGAAAGACTGAATAGTCTGATGCTGATGTCCATCGAAGACGACTTGTTGGAGCAACTTGATGTGGACAATCTTGTCCAATTGTTCGTAGACATGGCCCCAAGAAGAATGGGTTTAGTTTAGATTTTTAAATTAAACATTTACTCTCAACTATTGCTCTATTCTTTCAAATATTTAAATTTACACTTTATCAGACTCTGAGTCCCCATTTCTTTTAAAAAGCATTGTAGAAACGAACAGTGTCTCACTGTCGAATAAAAGAACTTCGCATTATTTGAACTCAAAATGTCCAACTAATGTTCGTTTAAGCCTTTTTACACACTTCTCTAGGGATAAAGGGGTCATAAAGTGAGAAGAATAACCCAACTTCAGTTCTGCAGTATAGATGGCTTTGACAATTTATTACATTTGGGAGAAAAGAAGATTGGTACATTTGTGAAATCAAGGAAAATCATGTCTTTTATGCAATATATAATCCTCAGAATGCCAACTTTATTCTGCAAAATCTCACCCGGAAAATGCAGGAAATCGCATTTGCGGGAGTCTAGATTTCAAAATTTCCCGGGGGGCATGCCCCCGCACCCCACTATAATGGCTCACACCTTCGGCGTTTGGATCTCGCCCCCCCAAAACTTTGACTCTGGCTACACCACTGTTTGTAATGTGTAGTGAGTATTTTGAAATGTGTAGTGAGAATATTGAAATGTGTAGTGAGCATATTGAAATGTGTAGTGAGTATTTTGTAATGTGTAGTGAATATTTTGAAATGCGTAGTTTTCTCTGGTTGGCGTTATTTGATTTTGTAATGTGTTTTGATACTTGTTTATGTAGTGACACGTACCGGCCACTGTATCAAACTGTAGCAAATGAGGAAGAAGAACGGGAAGCAATAGTATCGGGAATTGCTTAACCTGAAGTTCAGGCCCTATTACAGAATAGGGCCTGACACAAAACCTATCTAAACTGTGGGATTCCCGTCCACCTGGTGGACGGGAAATCTGATTGGTTGATCAGCATCATGAAGGATTTTGATTGGTTGCAAGTTTACATAAACAACAGTTTTAAAAATAGCTCGGTCAAAGGCGACAATTAATAATATAAAGGTCAAACGCACGTAACAAATTCCATTATTGATTTCTTCGAATTTCTTTTGTTTTACGCTTTATGGCAGAAACAAACAAACAGTATTTTGATAGGGCGTTATCAAAATCTTGGACGAATTTTGGACACACGCGTACGACGTTGAAAGAACAGCCAAACTAGTCATGTATTCGAAAGCTTGTTGTTGACAGCCAAGCCGTTCTGCCAACAGGCTTCGCCGGCAAATGTCTTATTGTTAATATCAGGTCCTACAGGCGTTGTTTTCTGAGCTATATCGCCTTCTTCGTGGTACGATTGAGAATTTCATTGTTGCTCTTGTTAGCCTGTTAGAGTATATCCGCGTCCAGCAAGTTGAGACCTTGAGAAAGCTTGGCAGTCAAGCCTTGCACAGAACTGACTAATTAAATCTTTGTTTGCTGTTCATTTAAATAGAGAAATTGACTCTTTATAATTATATAAAAGTACCTTGAATTTTTAAGTTTAATTATAAAGCAAAATGCAAACTCTGCGAAAATGTTCATGAGAATATAAATTATTTGTGTAACGAAATCTACAACACTTGTCAATCATATTGCATGTTGTGTCTAAAAATAACATGTGGGCGTCCCGCAGTCTAGACAGGTTTTGTGTCAGGCCCTATTTCAAATTAGGGCCTGAACTTCAGGTTAGGAATTGCTTGTCCCCAACACTAAAATATCACTCACAGAGTTTCGTTTAACAAAGTTTTTTATTCATGGTTACGTATCACTCCTCTCTCTCTCGCACACTATCTCACATTTTACATTCCCATACTTATCTTGTCAATCATCTGTTATTTTATCTTGATCTCATTACTGCATATTGCTCAATGTTCTGCTATATATAAATGTTCAACAATTAAAAGTTCAAATTCGGTTACTTAATATATATAATGTCTATCAACTAATTAATGAAAACCTAACAACTTTCCAACACCCTCCCCCTATTTGCTACACGAAGTGTGCAAATATAATTAATGTCTTAACAAAACGAGTTATAATAATGTTAAATGTAAAAAACCTGTTCTTCAAGTTCAGACAAGTTACCATATTCATGATATAACAGTTTTTACTGATCCTCTTCATTTTCCGCGATGTCTTGCAATCGCATCGTTTCAGCAGCAGCATCTCGCTTCGGTCTGAATGCTTGAGCATTTTGGTCAAGATCTTGTGTGTTCTTCTTGGGCTTGCTCATGTCACACGAGAGTTCTAATGGGTAAAGATGCTGCACGGCACGTTCGAGGTGACTTTTACCAGCTCGCAACTTCGCCACACAAACAACTCCATCACATCCTGCAATCAGATCCTCGATGATTCCTAATTTCCACTTGTTTCTATTGCGTTCATCAGATTTTATGATCACCTACTTTCAACATAAATTTCTTGTTGTTGTGTTTAAGATTGTGCCTTTCTCGCAATCCTCTCACGTACTCGTTCGTTCACCTTCTCCACATCATATCTTTGCACTTTTTGATTCGTTTCGCGGTCTTTATGAGATCTGTTTCTTCAATATCTTGGTAATCTTGTGTAGGGATTTGATTAGGTTGGTGGAACATTAGGGAATTGGGTGTCAGCACCGGTAATTGGAGATCGTCCTCAACATAGCTAAGGGGTCTATTGTTCAACGCCACTTCGACATTGAGCAAAAGATCTTGTAGAATATCCCAAGTGAGTAAGGTACTCCCACCTGCTTTGTAAAGTGCCTGCTTTACTAGGCCAACGATTCTCTCGAATTGACGACCCCACCACGGTGCTCTACTCGTGTTAAATTGCCACTTTATCTTGTACCTTGCGAGCCAGTCGTGCAGTTGTTCATCCTTCATTATTCGTTTGAGCCACAAACGTCTTGCCATTATCGGAATAGATCTTCTGGGGGCGTCCTCGTCTGGCAATAAGACGTTTCAAACTTTGCAAGAACTTGTTTGTTTCTTGAGTTGGCAAGCGTACAGTATGATGTAGGCCTTTCCTTCATGTTTTGCTTTCGTCAAATACTTTATGGGACCAGCATAGTCAACCCCAACGACTTGGAACGCCGCACCGCCCTCGGTTCGATCTCTGGGAAGGTTTCTGGTTGGTGCGTTTGCTACTGCAACTGCCCGGAATCTTTTGCACGTATTACAATTTTTCGTCACTCGTTTGGCAATGCTACTTAGACGGGGGGTCCAGTATTTCTCTCTATACTTTGCCATGGTCATTCCAACTCCCCCATGAGAGCTGAGCTTGTGGGCATGCGTGATGATCTTTTCGGTCAATAGCTCGTTATCTGGTGAACACAAAGTGGTTGGGCCTTTAACAACCGAGGAGACAAGTCGACAAGCCAAACTTTTGGTGAAAAAGGTTCAACAATGTAACGAGGAAACGAAAGCATTCAAGGAAGATCAACAACAGTTGAACTTAAAAATAAATGACGAAGGTACTTACGAGTGCCGGGGTAGAATACAAGGACACTATCCTGTTTACCTACCAGATGTTTACCTAGTGAAATAGTAAATAGTTATATTCAAAGTATCATGTCATTGCCTAATATTCACGGCTGCCAGCCATCGAAAATGCATGAATTTTATGAGACATGAATGTACAATGTACAGTCTTTGGAACCCTACGCAAAATAAGTGAATGGTTATGTCAGGGCCACAATCGACAAGCTAGAGGGAATAAGAGGGGACCTTGTTCGTATGGACAATGACTGGCAGGAGTGGAAATTCCCACAACTAGTAGAGGCTTTGAGAAAATGGATGGAGTGCAACCCCATTAAAGCGTCTAGCGAGAAGCATGTCACAAAACACCCGCAGTTTCCTTTCAAGCGAGAGAGGAATTTCAATACCAGACAAGACCGTGAAGTAAGAAATCCTAGAGCATGCGTATATTGTGATGGAACCGATCACAGATCTGTTGACTGTAAGAAATTTGAACGAACACTCGATAGAAAAAAGTTACTTAGTTCAAAACAGCTATGTTTTAATTGTGCTCAACCCAATCACAAAGCATCGGAATGTAAATCACGCACGGCATGCCAAAAATGTAATCGACGCCATCACACAAGCATCTGTGATAATCGCGGTGATAACGAAAGTGACAACTCGAATGTTTTGTTGTCAGCCTCAAGTGCTGGGAATGCAATGGTTACGTACCCTGTAGTTATTGTGAAAGTCCATGGCGTAACATGTCGCGCGTTACTGGACACTGGGGCGGGAAGCTCTTACGCGTCATCAACCCTAATAAATTTAATCCATGCCAAACCAATTAGAAAGGAATTCAAGAGCATTGAAATGATGTTAGGATCAGTCAACAAAGTAATTAGCGTTCATAATTTGTCCATCAACAATCTCGAAGGAGACTTTAAATTAGATACTGAAGTCACAAAAGTGGACCGTAATAAGTTATTAACATTGAAAAATCCCCGGTACCGAGAAACTTTAGCTAAATTTCCACATTTAAACAGAGTAAAAATGCATGACAACGACGAGAAACCGGAACTTCCAGTGCACCTAATTCTGGGTGCAAGCGAGTACGCCCGAATTAAGACCGAGACCAAACCGAAGTTAGGACGTCCCAACGAACCTGTAGCCGAATTAACAAGATTTGGCTGGACAATCCTTTCCCCCGGCAAATAAATCGACCTAACCCAAATGTTATCGACGCAAACTGCCTCTCCAGATTACGAGCAACTTTGTAGACTAGACGTGCTAGGGCTAAAAGACTCTGCAACCGGCGACCAAGAAATCGTGTACGAAGAGTTCAAGGAGCAATTGACAAGAAATCCAGGGGGTGGTACGATACTAGCCTTCCTTGGAAAAGAAATCACCCTCCACTCCAGAATAACAAAGCAGGAAGGCTGACTCGTCTTCACAACTTAGTACGCAAACTAGAGAAAGAAGATACTTTAGAACAGTATGACAAGATTATCAGAGACAAGCTGGAGCAAGGGATAGTAGAACGTGTGGAAAACGATGCCAAAGGCAAATACAGTAGACAGTACCATGGCGTTACACTGGATCGGTGGAAACGGCGAGCTCAAACAGTTCGTGGGAAACCAGTGAGAAGAATCCAGGAGAAGAGTTACATCGAATGGCGACACATGACGTCAGCCGATAACCCAGCAGACCTTGGCAGTCGAGGTGACATAAGCAAATCAGCTGCCCTTTGGTGGAACGGTCCTGCCTGGTTGCTCAACCAAGACAAATGGCCACCAAACATCAATACCCAGGATACCAGCGAGACCCAAGCAGAAACTAAAGCAGCAGTGAAAGAGTTATTCGCTGTCGCAGTTCCAGTTGAAGACGAGTTAGATCAACTCTTACAGAAGTACGACTATTGGAAAACGATACAAATAACAGCAAGAATGAGTCGTTTCACGAACAACACAAGAAACGGTGGCAAACACAAAGTGGTTGGGCCTTTAACAACCGAGGAGACAAGTCGACAAGCCAAACTTTTGGTGAAAAAGGTTCAACAATGTAACGAGGAAACGAAAGCATTCAAGGAAGATCAACAACAGTTGAACTTAAAAATAAACGACAAAGGTATTTACGAGTGCCGGGGTAGAATACAAGGACACTATCCTGTTTACCTACCAGATGTTTACCTAGTGAAATAGTAAATAGTTATATTCAAAATATCATGTCATTGCCTAATATTTCACTAGATTTGGCATACCTTGTTTGGAGAATGTTTCTTGCTCTCTCGTAGCCCTCGATTGTAAAGGTAGCCCTTGAATTGCAATTCTCACCTTTGGCATGACCAATTCCTTGAGATATGTAAACTTGGTCACTGCTGGGATGTCTGTTGCTTGGATCTCGGCTTCGAATTGGTTCCAAAACCGCAACCAATCTTTATATGTGCCATCAAACTTAGTAATTTCCAGCTTTTGCAGTCTCGCGTTGGATTTTTTCGGTCCGCTCTCGCTGGGCTTTTTCGTTTGTTCTTCAACCATTTTCTTCTCGTAATATAGTTTTAACTTTAGTTTCTCCTTGTTGTATTTAAGTTTCTCTTGGTACTCTTCGTCTCTGACTTGAGCAGCCAAGTTCTGCTTTCGACGCAGTTCTTTTCCTTTTGTAGTTGTAATTACCATCTCTAACTCAGAGATTGCCTCCTCGATAGGTACTATATCGTTCGCTTTTGTTTCGTCTGTCTATGCGCGAACCTCTGGTTTAACACCTTCTCCCAGTTTTGCCTCTTGAATACGTAACTTGAAATCATGCAATTCTTGCAATTTGTCGTCTAATGTTTTACGTTGTCGTTGTAACTCGCTGATTTTAGCGTTTGTTATTATCCCATTTGTATCTTCGTTTATAAGTCGAAGTAGATCGGTTTTTGTTTTTAATAATTTCACAAGATACTCAGAAGACTGCGTATCAGCCATCCCGTCGGAGGGTGCCACTGTACCGGAAATTGCTTTTCCCCAACACTAAAATATCACTCACAGAGTTTCGTGTAACAGTTTTTTATTCGCAGTTAGGTATCACTCCTCTCTCTCTCGCATACTATCTCACATTTTACATTCCCATACTTATCTTTTCAATCATCTGTTATTTTATCTTGATCTCATATTACTGCATATTTCTCAATGTTCTGCTATATATAAATGTTCAACAATTAAAAGTTCAAATTCGGTTACTTAATATATATGTCTATAAACTAATTAATGAAAACCTAACAACTTTGCAACAATAGAAAGCTATTTTCTTGGAGGATACGAGTATGAAACGATTTTATGTTTTTTGTCGAAATATCATGGCATTAATCATTCAATGTCAACACTGAAGAGACGGCTAAGGGAATATGGCCTGAAAAGGAAATATGCTGTTGACATTGATGATAATGATATTGTTGAAGCCATTCAACAAGAATTACAAGGTCCAAGTTATGTGTCAGGGTATCGAAGTATGTGGCATACCCTTCAACTCAAATACGGACTGTGTGTTCCAAGAGACAAGGTGCAGAGGATTTTAAAGGAGCTTGATCCAAACGGCACCGCAGAACGAGAGCGGCACCGGCTTAAGAGGAGGACATATAGATTGAATGGCCCAAACGAATGTTGACACGTCGATGGTTATGATAAACTAAAACCATTTGGTTTTCCAATACATGGAGCAGTCGATGGATATAGTCGACGTGTTTTGTGGTTGAAAGTTGCAAGAACTAACAATAATCCAGTTGTAATAGCAAACTATTATCTGGAATGTGTCACGGAACTTCAAGGTTGTCCTCGACTTTTAAGAACAGATCCTGGAACTGAGAATGGCACGATGGCTGCCTTGCAGTGTTACCTAAGAGCAAGCGATGATGATGAATTATCTGGAGAGAAATCTCATCGTTATGGCTCTTCAACTAGCAATCAACGAATCGAGTGCTGGTGGTCTCATCTTAAACAAAGCCGCACAACTTGGTGGATAAACTTCTTTCCATGTATTGGAAAGCCAAATGGTTTTAGTTTATCATAACCATCGACGTGCCAACATTCATTTGGGCCATTCGATCTATATGTGCTCCTCTTAATCCGGTGCAGCTTTCGTTCTTCGGTGCCGTTTGGGTCAAGCTCCTTTAAAATCCTCTGCACCTTGTCTCTTGGAACACACAGTCCGTATTTGAGTTGAAGGGTATGCCACATTCCCTCGATACCCTGACACACAACTTGGACCTTGTAATTCTTGTGAATGGCTTCAACGATATCATTATCATCAATGTCAACAGCATTTTTCCTTTTCAGGCCATATTCCCTTAGCCGTCTTTTCAGTGTTGACATTGAATGATTAATGCCATGATATTTCGACAAAAAATATAAAATCGTTTCGTACTCATATCCTGCAAGAAAATAGCTTTCTATTGCTTCCCGTTTTTCTTCCTCATTTGCCACAGTTTGAGCTTCAGGGTTTTCAACCATTCTGCTGCAAGAAGGGCAAAAGACATTGGTTTCATGAAGTTGATTTCCACACGAAGAACAAAACATGGTTGCGACTTGCGACAAAGTGAAAGACAAGCCTTAGTAACCACCCGTTTTCATACACACTGCACATAATTATAAGCCTGGGGCGAATGTGTAGTGAGTATATTGAAATGTGTAGTGAGTATATTGAAATGTGTAGTGAATATATTGAAATGTGTAGTGAGTATATTGAAATGTGTAGTGAGAATTTTGAAATGTGTAGTGAGTGTATTGAAATGTGTAGTGAGTATATTGAAATGTGTAGTGAGCATTTTGAAATGTGTAGTGAGCATTTTGAAATGTGTACTGAGCATTTTGAAATGTGTAGTGAGTATATTGAAATGTGTAGTGAGAATTTTGAAATGTGTAGTGAGTATATTGAAATGTGTAATGAGAATTTTGAAATGTGTAGTGAGTATATTGAAATGTGTAGTGAGTATATTGAAATGTGTAGTGAGCATTTTGAAATGTGTAGTGAGCATTTTGAAATGTGTACTGAGCATTTTGAAATGTGTAGTGAGTATATTGTAATGTGCAGTGAGCATTTTGAAATGTGTAGTGAGTATATTGAAATGTGTAGTGAGAATTTTGAAATGTGTAGTGAGTATATTGAAATGTGTAGTGAGAATTTTGAAATGTGTAGTGAGTATTTTGAAATGTGTAGTGAGTATTTTGAAATGTGTAGTGAGCATTTTGAAATGTGTAGTGAGCATTTTGAAATGTGTAGTGAGCATTTTGAAATGTGTAGTGAGAATTTGAAATGTTTAGTGAGCATTTTGAAATGTGTAGTGAGAATTTGAAATGTGTAGTGAGCATTTTGAAATGTGTAGTGAGTATATTGTAATGTGTAGTGAGTATATTGAAATGTGTAGTGAGCATTTTGTAATGTGTAATGAGCATTTTGAAATGCGTAGTTTATTCTGGTTGGCGTTATTTGATTTTGTAATGTGTTTTGATACTTGTTTATGTAGTGACACATACAGGCCACCGTACATGTGGAAGTGCCATGTGTTGTAAACAGTTTGAATCACTCGATAAAAGATTTAAAAATGTCTATAATTCTCACTTAAACTTTGACATAAAGTAGATTTGTGTTTCTTGTTATAATATTATGCAATCCCAGGAAAAGCTGCATTTTTCCAAGAAAAACCCCACGCATCTCACACAATATTCCATAATTAGACTACTTCCATAATTAGACTAATATTATGTAATTCTTGACACAAGAACATTCTTTAAAAACTTAATCATTTTGAGTTTCATAGCTGGCTTGGTATCTTTAAACAAGAAATTCCTTAAACCATAAACATAGTTGTAGGTGGGGGAAACAGGAACAATTCGAACCAATTCATCGCCATTTTTATATTTCAGGTATGAATACTGTAGTAGGTTTTTCTGTTCTTTTTTGCTTCCCTCTTGATGTTCTCATTAAAGTGAGCAACAGCCAGCATATGTCTGGAGATGGAGAAAATAGAAATTCACTACGGGTGACGGATCTGGAATAGCAGATAAGTTACACGAATGTGGCATGTATTATATTATGCCTGCAATATGTCCTTGTGTAGGAATAGGCTGTCATCGTGGGGTGGAATTGGTTACGTGTGGAAGGGGAATGTTTGTAAATGGCTGGTTTTGAACTTCAGGAGATAGGTTTATCACATCATTTAACATTTTCACACCCCTCATCCCCCACAGAGGATAAGGGAAGTGACCCCACTCCCTTTGAACACCTTATATATTTAACAATTATACCATAGGCTTGAGTCATATATTGCTGATTTATAATATAGAGTAGACGGACATAATATAGACATCTACTTTACAATATGAAATAATTTATTAAGTAATCAATGTATATTTGTAAAACGAATGTTCAACGTTTGTCAAAGGCAAACAACAGATTAAAATATACAAGATTTATTGAATTTAACTTATGTAAACAGCGATTGTTAATAAAAGATTACTTTAACATGGAAAAATACAGTTTAATAAGAACAGTAAATTGTAGATCTGAATGTTGCAACTGTAGAATTTGAACGTTGAGCCACTTGTCATGTGTGTGCTTTGCTTGTTGACTGTTATTGTATGGCTATCGTTGTCTGATCTCATTTCAACCAACAATTCAAGATAAAGATCTTTTGGAACTGCTGTTTTGCCTTGGGTTTGGAACAATGAGGACAGGGCTGCTACTGGGTTGGAGGTATTGACTCAACTGTGCTGGAGAAGTTAATACACATTTACCACAAAGAAATTTAAAATAATCGCTGTAAAATACTCTCTTCCTCGCTCACATTTCTCTCGTTTCCCTAGTAACCTAATTTCATTAGTTGGGGTGTGGCACAGGCTTGTCCATTTGGCTCACACTCCCCTAAAAATTGAAATTGTCAATTTTTACCCTTACTGTAACAATAACAATATGAATGCAACTATGCATGTTTCTATTTCATGTTTCTTGTCCCCTTCATCCTCTAACTGCAACCATATTCTTTGCTCCACTTCCTTCGACACATTTCTCTGCACTTGTTGATTCTCAGAGACCTTTTCGTTCTGCTTTTGCTCCACGACACTTTCTCCGACTTTAAGTTCCAATGGACAGATTAATTTTAAAGGCCGCTGGATTCTTCAAACATTGTGACACAAAACGACACCCTATACAACACCATCCTTGCCCTTTACTAAGCGTAGTACACAACTTTTCTTCCATTCACCCTGATTCTTTTCATCACCCACGATCAAGAGTATGTCGCCGACATCTGGTACACTCCCGCCTTTCGTTTTTGTCCAATGCGTTCCATTAAAGCGTGAATATACTCCCTTTTCCAGCATTGCCATGCATGTTGTCTTGCATTAATCAGCTGCCTGTTCATCGATGTCAACTTGTCTGTGTCTGTTTCCAGTTCCTCGAGTGGATATGCGTTTCCTCCCCACATAATAACATTTGGCGTTAGCACCTTCGACTCTGTCTCGCCCTCCACGTACGTCAACAGCCAATTCAAATTTTTCTCAATATCCATTACCACTTGCTCCATCCCCTCAAATGACAAGTGAGATTTCCCCAGTGTTTTATATATAAACTTTTCTTGACTTCCTTAATAAGCCTTTCGTAGAAACCTCCCCAACATGGGTATTTTGCAAGATTGAATTGCCACCTGATTTCTTTATTTGCAAGAAAGTTCTGCATTTTCTTGCTCTTCCTTATAATCTTCAGCTGTAACTTTGAAAGTTTGTGTGTTGTCCGATATCATATGCAGTCTCGTTCTACGGGTAATGAAAGCATTGAGTTTCCTCTTAACTCATTCTCATCTGGTCGAAAAGTAGCAATTTCGAGTGGTGTTGTTTCAAACGCTTATATCTCTCAAATTATACATCGCACGGAAACAGAAATTGCATCGTTCGAAAGAGGAGGACTTCTGCTTTCCAACGATACCAATTTCAATTTCATCCGGAGCTTGGTTAACGATTTACTCGCATAAATTTGCATAAATTATGATATAAAAAAATGTTGCAATTATGCATAAATGTATTTAGCGGTTCAAATTTCAAATATGTCAAAAAATTTTATGAGTATGACTGAAAGACACGGTTATGATCTACAAGTACCCGAAGTTTCATGCATGTAGCATAAATAGAAATATTTTTATTGAATTTTTATATAAACTAGGTAGTGGAGTAAAATTTACATTTTGTGCTCACATGAAACAAATACCTTTATCAAAGGTCCTTTTTATTGCTGCAACATGTTATCAATACAAATTTCCAATATTTCTTACTCTCCAAAGATAGTATGGCACCAAAATAAGTCTGTGATACCCACAAAAGAACACTCAAATCATGATTAGCAAAATGTCTTTATTTCTACAATTACTACATACATTCTTAGATAATCATTACACCATTGACTTTAGTTATTAGTGGCATAACCAGCCTCAAAATTGGGTCATGCTATTCAAATTTGAAATAATCACTACTCATTTGTTTAGAAATTGATTGTTTTCACAATCTAGAACATGAAAATATTTGCAAATAGCATGACCAAGTGTTGTTGGGCTGGCATCATCATAATTAGTAGTTATAAAAAAGTAATGTTTTCCAAGGCAGTAATGTTTGCTAAAGCAGTAATGTTTGCCAAAGCACATAATTGGATTATGTGGTGAAAATATTTCCTTTATATTGTACTACAAAAGACCTAAGACTGTAACCAAACTGATATCAGATCACCACGTCATACCCAAATCTGTTGCGGTGAATATGTGGACTTCTTCCTGTATAAATTTCAAAGTCACAATATAACCATTAGGATTGTCTGCAGCAACCCACAGATTTATTCCCCACATAGTAGGTCATCTAGCTTTCATGAACTGCCTAACCCCCAACCTAATCCTTGATTTGACAGTGTGTTTGTCTGCAACAACAATATTCTGTGACGGCTGGTACAGTTGTTGATGCTTTTTATTGCTGTAGTCTTTAGTACAGGATCTACCATATTCACAAACGCCATAAGCGCTTTGTACCTAACCCGAGAAATTATGTCTATTGCCCACAGACCATGATATAAGGTTTTTACACTCCAATAATTTTCAATCTCACTGTCGACCTTTAGCAAACCTGCATATTATACTAAAAGGCAATCAACCTCTCGAGGTTGGTGGACTGCAAGACCCTTTTTTATTAGTATATGGGGATAACTTTTGAGTTATTTGTATGTGGGCATATGTATTGGTATGGCCAGGAAACTACCTCCTGAAGCATTCCCTTAGTAAAAAAGAGTCGAATGAACTCAAGCTCACAGTTCATTGAGCCGAATGAACTCAAGCTCACAGTTGATCGAAATGGATCCTGGACATGTCAGTGAGGAGCAAAATCTGGGAGAACATTCCTGGCGTCAGGATCATCATATCCGTCATGTACTATGGGGCCTAGTGGGGATGCTAGACAGGGAGCTTTCGAAACCTTAGGTCCTAATGGCTGGGCTTCCCTCTACCTCTACTCATCCCCCTACCTTCCCTCTGGGTTGGTGAGTGGGGTTCTCATGACTCATCAGAACTCTACTTCCCTGAGGCTATGAAACAGGAACAGCAGATAGGAACAGGATCAATATATTCATCAGTGCGAATAAAAACTTTTATAGACATGGTGCCACTTAAAATTATAATAAGAGCCAACTAGTAAGATATAAGTATGAATACTTGGCTATTATGTATGTAACAAACAACCAAACATGTGCTCAAGGCTCATTTTACTTCGCCTAGGAATCAGAGATTTTTATGCCTAAAACACCATAAATTTTCGTCAACAATATAAATAAATACCATTTATATTTGTCAATTTCAGTATGAAACGATTATTTCAACACAAAAAAGCGATATGAGGACATACTTGGTCGTACTAGTGAAGCTATACTAAATACAAATAAATTTACAACGCCATGGCAACGGCAAAACATTGAAATAGAAATTGTCTAGAAATGATACAAATACTTGCCTTGAAACTCCAGACACGACTCCCAATGCCAGGTTGAGATACTTGTCTTCATACGAAGACATTCCATCATTACTAGCACTATCAGTTTGCAAAATAAAGCCAAAAACGTCTTCAGAATGCGATTCAAACAAAACTACAACACAATACATTTCAACGCTCGTGCGTTCCCGTGCGCGATAATCAGGAAAATTGCTCTAAAAGATTTGTTTTTCTGCCTAAGCCAATCAAAATCCGTATCTAGGGTAAACAAACACTCCGGAAGTGATTCCTGCAGTCTTTTACCAGGAAACTGTAATGCTTTACCAAGAATTTGGCGTCCGAAGTTGGCCGAACACTTTCCGATCACGAGAATTGCCATAATAGGCTTAGATTATTTCGCAATTTCCCGAGACTGCTCCGAGCTATAGAATGGAAGATGGCGATTCTTTTGGTATATTTGTTATTATTATACGTTGAAAAGAAGCAAAAAGACGAGCATTTGAATCAGGCGGAACATTCAAAATGCAACAGCAAAATTGATAATGTGTCATTTGCATAAATTTCACCGCATTGATCATTTCAAGGTAAGAAATTCGCTTGAAATTGAGCGAGAAACAATAAAATTATATGAATATTTCTGAATATATAGTATCGATCAAGCGGAATTTTTTGGTGGTATTTTCGTATGTCTACTGCAAATACTCGCGAAGTTCTTTAATATTTAATCTTCCCGTCATATACGTCGGAAATTAATATTGGCGGATCGAATTGAGTTAAATTGTGCAGCCGTTCGATCTTTCCTTACTTCCAAATGAACCGCTCTTGAGGCTGCGCACGTAAATGTTAAAACATAGCATTTTCCGTCTTCTTTCTTAGTAATTTTGTAGTGCAGCGGTCCTGCAAAGTCCACGCCGGTCATTTCAAATGGTTGGTCACCTTCCGTTCTAAAACTTAACAGCATTTTCACTGTGATTGGGGCTTCAAACGGTTTTGCTGAATATAATTTGCAAACGTTACACTTGTTGACGACTTTCTTCACTTTCTCACGTAACTTTGGAATCCACCGTGTTTCTCAAAGAGTTGCCATTTCTCTGTTCTTCTTTAGTTCGGGTTGTTCGGGCCACTTGTCCTTCCTCAGGAGCCAGTGTGGTCCTGCAAACCACTCTTGGCTCTCGAGCTTATCAAACATTGACCATAGCATATCATTCAATAGTGCAACACTTTCGCTTGAATTTTGTCAAGTATCAAAATTACTCCAGTCCCTTTCCTCTCACATCTCGAAAGTAAACGTTTTTTCATAGGTTTAACAGCATTCCTATGTATTAATGTGGCTAAATGATCCACAGATGTGGACAGTTCGTTATAAAAACATCTAGAGTTCTCTCGCCTCTAGTTGGAACTTTTGACCACCCTTACGAAAATTTCCTATAGGAATTCCTATATGAATTGAAAATTCGTATAGGAATTCCTATAGGAATTGAAAATGGTCAAAAAAATTCCTATAGGAATTCCTATAGGAATTGAAATTTCCTATAGGAATTGAAATTTCCTATAGGAATTCCTATAGGCATTGGAAATTCCTATAGGAATTCCTATAGGAATTAAAATTTCCTATAGGAATTCCTATAGGCATTGAAAATTCCTATAGGAATTCCTATAGGAATTACCCTGGTTCCAGATTATCCTGGTTTAAAATAAACCTCTGGTTGAAAGCGGCAATTGATTCATCGAGCCGCGCCAATCAGTTTGAATTAGGGTCAGATCCTGACTCTGTCTCCTGATTGGATGATTGTATTAAAGCTCTCTGATTGGTTATAGATGTTTTATTTTAATCAATCAGAGAGCTTTAATACAATCATCCAATCAGGAGACAGAGTCAGGATCTGACCCTAATTCAAATTGATTGGTGCGGCTCGATGAATCAATTGCCGCTTTCAACCAGAGGTTTATTTTTTCTCTCCCCTTCGCAATGAAAATAAATAAAAATAAACCTCTGGAACCAGGGTATATAGGAATTGAAATTTCCTATAGGAATTCCTATTGGCATTGAAAATTCCTATAGGAATTCCTATAGGAATTGAAAATGGTGAAAAAATTCCTATAGGAAAAAATATCCCTATAGGAATTCCTATAGGATTGGAAAATGGCTATAGGAATTCCTATAGGAAATGAAAATTCCTATAGGATTTGAAAATGGTGAAAAAAAATCCTATAGGAAATAAAAATTCCTATAGGAATTCTTATAGGATTGGAAAATGGTGGGAAAAATTCATAGCCTATACCATTATGGCCTGATACATGCATGGGTATAAGAACTTTACTTTAAAAATTATACAGATAAATATAATTTACGAAATAACTCCTTGATCCTACAGGAATTTCTAATTTCAAGGTGCTTCGGTGGCCAAGTGGTTAGCACACTTGCCTTTCACCTCTGAGGCTGCAGGTTCGAGTCTCACTAAGTACCTTCTCAATGCGACTCGAACCCAGTCCCCATGTGAAAAGAGTAAAAGTCAACGCTCTGCCGAAAGCCGTGGGTTTTCCCCGGGTACTCCGGTTTCCTCCCACAGGGAAAGTTGACAGGGTGGGTTAGGTAAAAAGGGCCCACAGTAATTGGCATATGCTGTTGTGGTGACCCTGCCCTAGCTGGCAAAGCTAAATAAATAAATAAATAATTCTTATAGGAATTTTTCACCATTATCATATCCTATGAGAATTCTTATAGGAATTTTAATTTCTTATACAACTACACTATTCCCATATCGTATTTTACTCATAGACATTTATTAATAGAGAATTTAATACTGGGACTATTTATTTTCTAAGATTAAATGAATAATTACCGCAATGTGCGCGACTGACAAGACTGGTGTCTAGTTTTCTTGCCATGCGCGCCAAGCATCAAGGGATAGATCATCACACCTCCGATATTTTTTCAAGTCAGTGTTTGTCAATGGTTTATGTGCAAAATAGAACTATTTTTGATGGGATTCAGCTGGATTTTCACTATAGTAATACATCAGGGATGTTTGCATAATGTTCAGGTAAGAATAAGTTTATATTTTATTTATAATAAAGCAAATTATAAAGGAAATTCTTTTGTGAAATTCGAGCATGTGGTTCGATAAAATTTGAATTTGCCGCGACAATATAAACGGAATTAGAATGCTGATATAAATATATTTATAGCATTTATACTTCAACAAATGCTACTATAAAAGTTTTATATTTGAATCAGACTTATCCATGTTCATTAATATATTTGTATATCCCAAGTGCCAACTGTATATGCCAGATTAATTGTAAATTGTCAGCCATATTTAATGCATGTCTATAGAAAATTTAACTACTTGCTCAAATCAGCAGCAGTATTTATTCATGTTTTGTTTAAATTAAACAATTTTCATTTTGAGAGGTCTTGCACCAGTCAATGTATTAAAATCTGTTAGCCTTTAGACATGCTTTAGTGTAATGCCAGGAAAATTATCCATGTTTTTCTATTAATTAAACATAACTATGTGATGGTATTCAAATTAATCAGAGTCTCTGCTAGCTTACATTTCATGCTAACTTGTTTAGATGAATGTGCTCAACTTTCAGTATTTTTTTATTTTACCTTGTCTAACACCAGATCATTTTACTTGAAAGAGAGTGGACAACTTTGATAGGTTACCTTGCTGCCTCCCTGTGTTTTGTGTAAACTCATTAAGACCCAATTCACAAATTCACACTAATGTGCTCTATTTCAAAGCTCAATATTTTGCCCTGTTAATACTTTTGCATTATTTGGCGTTAGCACATTTAGATGCAATTCACCCTAACACTCAATCCCCACTTTCAGTACTTTGATATTTATCAGATGATTTTACTAATCAAAATGAATGTTCAATGTTGGTCATTGAAAGGTTAATAATTAACTGCAAAAGCTGCTGTGTGGCATATTTAGAAGCAATGCGCCCTACTTTTAGTACTTTGTTATTTTACTGTGTTTATTCTATTAAAGTGCTAGACTCTCCACTTAGAGTAAAATAATAAATTGGGTGCATTTGGGCATATTTAATGGGTTAACAAAACACATTGGAATGGTATACATAAAATAAATGTATTTGTCTTTTTACAGCTATCAACAAAGTATGATGTAAGGCCTCAGAGGTTCGTCAACATATAAGGACAAATATAAACATCATGGGAAAGTGTTGGAAAGTACAGAAAAGCAAACAAGAACAAGAACTTATTTGAGGACTATGTTTTGAGGCCAGTTTTAAACTTAACTTTAAATGTCAATTATGGTTATTACCTATGGTTTAGCCCATTAAGTGCCAGCGCTCTGACGAGTAAAATCGTCTGGCGTTAGACAGAGTAAACTATAGTAAAATAATAAAGTAGGCGCATCAGGGCACAATGTGATTCAATGGGTTAACTGGACACATATATAGGAATATAGGCTAGTTAACCCATTCAGAGCCAGCATTTCCCCTTGTCATTCAAGTACAATTGTCTGGTGTTAGACAGAGTAAAATAGTCTGGCATTAGACAAAGTAAAATAGTTAGACAGAGTAAAATAATAAAGTAGGACGCATCATATGGCATTGCATTGAGGTAGAACGATTAATTTGGCACAATAGGTGAAAACTATAATTGATTTGTAATGTTTAGTATAACCAATTTCTCATATTAATTTTTATATTTACAATATTAATTAGTATTTATTAATATTTATATCTATTTTTTGCATTAAAAAATTAAGAGTGATGAACAACATTGTCTGTCATTTACTATTATTTCATCTAGATTCTAGAATTTCTGCAGGAATACCAAAAATTTAGGAAATTAGAATAAATTATTTTCTTATAGGAAATTCCTATAATAATTTGGGACTAGACTTGAGAATTCTTATAGGAATTCTTCCTATTAAATTCTTATAGGAATTCCTGTAGAAAAAATTCCTATAGGAATTTTTCCTATAGGAATTCCTATAGGAAAAATTCCTATAGGAAAAATTCCTATAAGAATTTGGGACAAAATTCCTATAGGAATTTTTCCTATAGGAATTCCTATAGGAAAAATTCCTATAGGAAAAATTCCTATAAGAATTTGGGACAAAATTCCTATAGGAATTTTTCCTATAGGAATTTTTCCTATAGGAATTCCTATAGGAATTCCTATAGGAAAAATTCCTATAGGAATTTTGTCCCAAATTCTTATAGGAATTTTTCCTATAGGAATTCCTATAGGAAATTTTCGTAAGGGTTTAACCAATGAATGTTTATCAATTTCCATTATAGCGTTATATTAGGATTCAGCTTTTCCATACTTTGGCATCAAACTATATGAAACGATCACATTCAGTCGAACGATATACTTTATAATAGCGCTAGCAGACACCGTGCAGACACTGACTGACAAATTTGGAACATGAAACCAAAATTGTATACTGAAACGCAGGTTCTTATTGGTCGAAAGCTTGTAGTCAGTTAGTAGGGGAAAATTTGAATATTTATGTAACACACCGATTGTGTTTTTTCAAAACCGTGCTAAAATACCGATATTACAATCTTCTTGAATGAACTATACTATCTTTTCCCATAATTGATAGATAGATCCATTAATTTCGCGATAAATATTAATGTAGTTCTTGGAGTCCTATGTTTTTACAATGAACCAATTCGCCTTTAAAAACATAGCTGGTTTTTTAATTCTAATATATTACGGCGCAATTTTCAAGCTTCAAGGTGAACACCACAGAAACTATAGTTAACACAAATGAACAATAACGAACGTATAAAAGTCACAAAGAGAGATGTATGTATTTTAAAACCCATGTGTCCAAAGGTTAACTAAGGAAGGAGTGTTATTTTGAAAAGGCGTGTTACTTCGTAAGGCGTGTTTTCCCAAGATGTGTTAATAAAAATTTTAATTAGGTGTGTTATTTGAAAAAGTGTGTTATCTGACCAAGGCGTGCTATTTTACAAGATGTGTTGCCTTTCGAAGGTGTGCTGTAATTAAAAGACATGCTGGAGTAACACACGCATTTTGTCGGAAGGTGTGTTTGGCTTAATAGCACGAAAGATGTGTTATTGAAAGGCGTGCTTTTTAACCCACTGGCGTGCTCTTTAACATACCATGATAGGTTATTAACTAGCACATCAAGGTGTGTTAAGGTTTTATTGTGTGTCAGTGTAGCACACCAGGCGTGTAAGATAACACAGGTCGGTGTGTTATTAAGCACATCTATTTTTTAGAGTGCACCAACGATGTTTCGGTGGGTGGTCATCCTCACTGATCTCAAAAATGTGGCGGACTCTCATGAATTACGGACACTGATTGGTCCAATTTAAAGTTTGCATTATAACGACTGCATGACGACAGCGAAATAGCAAACATTTCTTGATTTGATGATTGATAAATTTCTTGCAAATATATTTCATTTTTGCTCGCATTTTTGCAAGATTTTT